GTTACCACATTTTATTTTAATGCAATTCTTTCCTAATATTTGAGCAAGCACATATATAAAAAGCAGTTTGGACGTTTGTAAGGAAGTCATCTATTTTTTTTTCTGTAGGAGAAAATGTTTTTGTTTTCTTTTGCAATGATTTCACTAAAGTTGCTTTTAAATTTTGAGTAAAACTATGCAATGTCCCTTCAACCAGGGCTGATTTGTTAATAACAAATATGAACATTGAAAAATGGCTAATCCCCTGTTTTTCTGTCAGGTGCTCCTTTCAGGGTATTTACAGCAGATCATCTCCATCTCCAAGGATTTTTTTAACCAAATAAATGTTCACAACCTCATGTCTTTGTAATCACTATAGTGATATTGTTTCTCCTATGACCTCCAAAGACGATTTGTAGATTTTATCAAATTGCTCCAAGTTTCCACATTCGTCTTTTTCACCATTGCTCGTTATTTTACATAATCTAAAAAATGATTTTAATGTAAATCCTGTACTTTTAAACTTGCTGTGTTTCCCATAAAAGCAGACACTGTGTCTGATATTTGCAATAACGTTGCTGTCACTAGCTCCACTGCAAATATTCAAGGAGTTAGGAACTCACATAAATTGGCACACAGAGGGCAGTGGTCAGCCACCTAAAATGCTCAAAATATACAAGTTATTAATGATATTTGTCTCTACACCAGAATAAAAATTAATACAGGATGTAAAGAATGAAAATCCAGTTAAAATTTTAGCACTGAAATAAACACTCATTCTCCACCACCTCTGGGGGCATCTCCCATTTTGACCTTGAGACTTCCTGGCTGTATTCGGCACAGATGTTTCTCTATACTATGCCGTCCTCTTGGTTATGGCGTTCCATGTATGCACTTCCTTCTAGCATCTTGCACGCTGCTGTTATGTGCTGGATTGTCTCAGGGACATCTTTACACAGCCTGCACCTGGGGTCTTGCCTGGTGTGATAGACCCCAGCCTCTATGGATTTTGTGCTCAGAGCTTGTTCCTGTGATGCCATGATTAGTGCCTCTGTCCTGTCCTTCAGTCCAGCTTTGTCCAGCCACTGGTAGGATTTCTGGATATCAGGCACCTCCACTATCTGCTGGTGCTACATACCGTGCAGGGCCTGTCCTTCCATGATGGTTCCTCCTCTTCTTTGGGGCCATCCTCCTGATGTATTCATGGATGTTCGTTGCCTCATCCTGGATTGTGGTGCAGACACTTACTAGTCCCCAGCCTCCTTCCTTCCATTTAGCGTACAGCCTTAGGGTGCTAGACTTGGGGTGAAACCCTCCATGCATTGTCAGGAGCTTCCTTGTCTTGATGTCAGTGCTCCTGAGGAGGACTTGCCTGACCCTCTGCAGGTATAGTGGTTGCGCCCCTCTCCTCCCTGTGCAGCAAGCAGCAGCAGGGCACCCCTACTCCCTGCAAATGGGCTATGGAAAACCAATCGGTGCCTATGATACTCCCAAAATGTGCTGGCATGATGTCAGGGCAGCATGTGTGTGAGCAACTTTTTTTGCCAATGCCCATGATGTGACCCCACCACAATGCTGCCCTGGGCAACAGCAGCCCATGTCACCCATAACAAAAACTGCCACTGGTTAACACATAGTATTAACAAAAAGATCAGGCCTTGATTCACAAATTTTTGGCATTTCTCAACAATGCTTCATCTGGTGGCAGAGTGTTGCCAACATTTTGGACAATTAATTATCAATTTTAACTACTAAATTGAACAGGAAGTAAATCTGGGACTGACTAGTGACAACATCGAGTTCCAAGTAATAAACTAATAAAACACTCGAATTTCACTCACCTGAACTGAAGCACAGATTTCTGGGCTGGTTATTAGTTATGAGAATATTAGTCACACAGTCCATTAAAACTTCCCCAAAAGGCACCAGCTGGTCATATCGATTGACAGGTGAGCCTTATTTATCT